ACAATGCTATAAATATACTAAAAACCATTGCATGGTACACTTTAAACGGGTAAATTGTATAGAATGTAGATTATAACTCAATAAAGCTGTGAAAAGGGACATTTAGGGATAACTGCAGCACCAGAACGTCAATCAGATTTTCCTTTTTTAAATATTTTTTTAAATAATTAGTTGTAAATATGTACCAATGGACTCTATGATCTGTTATTGAAACCAGATATTGCTACTTCTCCTTTGCTATGACTAACTTCCTTTTATTTCTGCTGTATATGTTGCTCTTTGGTTTGGGGGTCTAATAACTCTTTTTAAAAAAATAAAATTTGTATAGGTGTCCTGCAGGGCTGCTGCCCATGGTTATGAGCAAAAAGACACCTGGCCGTGGGGGCAAGCAGGGGCTGAAATGCAGCCCAAATTCAACCAGGAAGGGCACCTTAGCGTGCACACAAAAAGCACCTTCAATGGGCTGTGAGCTAGGGGCATTGCTATGGCCATAGGGGGAGGCCTTTCATTCTATCCTCTGCTCTCGGGGGGTGGGAGGGGGGCCGCCTCTTCCTAACTCAAAAGAGCAATACAGACTCTGTGACCTGGAAACGTCACTGTTTGGTAAGGGCCCTCTCCAGATAGGGAGTTATTATTATTCAAACCACCTATAATGAGAATGGATGTTGAAAGGGGATTCTAACATCTTGAAAGACTCCCAACTTATCAAAGAAAGAGTCAAGGATGTGCAATGAACTCTTAAAAAGGCAAGAAGAAGGAGCACACTTTAGAAAGATTTTCAGCAGAAGGGTTTTCTAGTTGATCCCTAATAAATAAAATCTGAGCAGATTTTTCTGAGAAAGTGCCTAGCTGAATTTGCTCTTACACAAAGCAAACACTTTCAAGAAGCTTATACACAAAGATGGTTAACTGAGAAGTATTAATGACTCACATGCAAGGATATTAACCCATAAGATTTACATCAATACGCATATCAACGGGAAGTAAATGCATTATAAATATAAGAATGACTTAGTGAAAGGAGTGAAGAAGGCTTGAGAACAGTAGGGTCAATGGAGCAGGGAAGCCACGGTGATCTTGCAGGAGTAGGACGGAGGATGGAGGCTACGAGAGCGTCAGCCGTGGTTACACAGTCAGGGTGACATCACCGGGTTCAATGAGGGAGTCACGGTGACAGCACAGTATGGAGCTTATCCGTACTAATCTCAAAAACCTCTCAACTATGTACAAGCAAACAAATATCCAAGAAATATGAGCAAATACATCAGTGGATAGTTTGAGATTCATTAAAAATACTCCCATCAGAGTAGCATATTAAACTAGCGTGCTGTTGTAATTGGCAAATTCTGAAATCACCGTGTCAAGTAAATTGCAAGGAAAAAAAAGACGATGAAGGAGGAACCTTCAGATTAAAAGAGATTTAAACGACATATCAAATAAATGCAAAGTGAGGACCTTAGTTGGAACTTAATTCAAACAAACTATTAAAAAAAATACACTCATGTGCTGTATAATGATGTTTCAGCTAAGACGGACTGCATATACGGCCACAGTCCTATAAGATTAACACCACATAGCCTAGGCGTACCGTAGGCTATACCATCTAGGTTTGTGTAAGGACACTCTGTAGCTGCACAACAACAAAATCTCCTGACGAGGCACTTCTCAGAATGTATCCCCATCATTAAGCAATGCGTGACTGCACACATCACATTTATAAGACAATCAGAAAATGTGAACACTGGATATTTGACATCAAGGAATTATTGTTAATTTCTTAGTTGGTATTGTTATGCTAAAAAAAAGTCCCTATCCTCTGCAGATGCACATTGTTTATTTATGGGTGAAATGATGTGATGTATAGAATTTCCTTCAAAATAACATGAGAAGGGGGAAGTTGCCAGGAGCATAGATGAAACAAGGCTGGGCATGAGCTGAATGACTGCTGAAGCTGTGTGAGGAATACGGGGGGTTCCAATAGACTATTCTGTCCATTTGTGCACATGTTTGAAATTCTCTATAACAAAAGTTTTAAAAAAATTCCATGCTACACTACAAATTGTAATAGTTACACTAAATTCTACAGCAAAAGATGAAACATAAAAAAGAAAATTAGTCTGGGTATGTTATTGCTCTAGAATACTGAATTTTTAAGGTCTACATTAAAAACAAAAGCATTCAACATACATGATTAATTCCACTTCTTGGAATCAATCCTAAGGAAGAAATTAAGGATGAACACAAAAGCATGGTCAGGACTGTGAAGTTCATCAGAATAGTCAGATGAAATAAACTGTGGCACAATAAAATACTATTCCCCTACTTTAAAAGATATTATAGAAAAGTATCTAGTGATACAAAAATGGTTGTACAAAAAAATACAAAAAAAAAAGCAGGGGGAAAGCATGTTAAAACAGTATATTTAATAAAATCTCACTTTTGTTACTAAAAAAAGCATGTATGCAACCATGGAAAAGGATATTGAGCAAGGTTTATTAGTCATCTATTAATGAGTGGGGTTGTGAGTTTTTCTCTGGCTTCTTTTTGTAAACAGTTTAAGAATTCTCTATCACAACCACAGCTTGTTTTTGTCTTTTCAGAAGTCACAGAAATGTCATCATGAGCTGATTAAATGCTAAAAAGACACCCATGTTAAGTTTCACGCCAGCAGCGTTGGCCTTACTAAACACACACTCTCTCTAGGAGTCCCATACTTGAAAGTGGGAACTATAATCAAGAACATTTCAAAGAGGAAGCTGCTTGCACACAAAACAATCATCTGAAAACGAAGTTCTCTCACAAGAGAAGCAAGGTCCCCCGGCCCACACCTGTTATGAGCACACTCTATCAGTGGCTTTGACTCTGGGTCTCTATGGTAAAAGCAAATAGTTCTATGGCAAACACGTACTTTATCCACCTTAAGGTGCCAGACGTCTGTGAAACCACGGAGACACACCCAGACACTGTTTTGGGGTTCAGGTGAAAAAAGGGTTTGTTGAACAGACCCTTTCCCAAAGGGAAGTTACCTCTTACCCACTCACTCCCTCAGAGAGAAGGTCAAGAGCATCTCTGGGTGGAATCCTAATGCCTTGGTCTGAAGTGACAAGGTCACTTGTTTCTGCGGTCACCCAAGAAGCATCTAAGAATCTCACCTCATAGTCTTTCCTTGGAAGGATCTCATCATCCTCCTCCTGCGTTTCTCCAAGGATGGTCTAGAAAAACAGATCCACAGAAGGAAGATCCTTTTAACGGTTAAAAGTGGAAAGAGGCAGAAGTATTTACTGAAATCCGTTGCTAGTTTCTAAGACATCTGGAGCCATTATCATCAAATGGGAACGAGACCTCAAAAGAACACTTTTGGGAGGGGTGTGACGTGGGTGGGGATCTACAGCCACCCAGCTGAGCTCTTCATTTCTATCGATACGTTCTGCAAATCACAACTCTTGTCTCCAGGACAAGTCAAAGATGCCCCTTGCCAGCTTATGGAGAAAAAAAATCAGGTTCTATCTGACAATATGCGGAATCTTAAATCAGAAGAGATCTGTCAACTTGGGGACACAGCAACTTGAGTTTTCCCAGGGTGCTTTGCACAGGGAAGCTGGATTGTCGGTGACCCAGAAAGGGTGAGGGGCAGAGTGAGACAGGGCTGGAAAAACTGAGCCAGCTGCATGATAAGCACGAAGTCCAGTGAAGGGGCTCATTCTGAAAACGCATGTTTCATTCAAAACTCCTTTCAGATGGAAATAAAAGAAAATATGGATGGGATTAACTGGAGCTGGCCTGAATTCTCCCTCACCTTCCAGTGAGGGGTTGTGAGAAAAGATCCTAGACTTGGGCACGTGAAGCCGGGCAGATGTTTCGAGAGCCCAGGCTGCGGTCCCCAGGCCCCACCCGCTGCCACCTGCGGGCCCAGCTCAGCCCGGCCCCACCCCCGGCAACGCCTCTCGCCATCCCTCAGCAACCGCCCCCTCCTCAGCCCGGCTCCGCCCGCTGCTTACCAGCTCCTCGGGGGTGCGGGTCTCACGCTCACCGCAGCAGCAACACCACCGGCAGCAGCAGCACAGGGACCCCCTGCACCCCGCCATCTTCCTCCTTTACTGCCAGTCCGGACCCCTCTGCGAACCCCTCCCACCCAGGATCCGCGCGTCACGTGACTGGCCCCAGGAGAGTCACATGGTCCTCTCGAGCTTGAGGCCGGAGACCGGGAGTGGCTGCAGACGGGTGAGGCGACGGCCCGTGTCACATGACGGTGGAGGCACGGCTTCCAACGAGACCACTGGGCGCGGCCATGTTGGGGGCGGAACTTCCGGTCGCCGCATGGCCGGTTTCCGCCCTCTCGTCCGGCCCCCTTAGCAACCTGACACCCGCGCCGCGCCCCTCCCCCGCACGTGTCTCCGCGGCGGCGGGTCAGCAGCGGTGGACGCGCGCGTTCTCAGTCACTCGCGACCGGAGGGTGAGTGACGGCAAGGCGTGGGGTCCCCGGGGAGGGAGACCAGGGAGCCCGGGTCCACCCCCCCGGGGGCGGGGACTTTCTTGTGGGCGGGGAGTGATGGAGGCCGGCCCGCCCCTCTAGGTCGGGGAGGGGGGCTCCCACCCAGTCTGCGCGTGCCCGCCGCCGGACTAGAGTAATCCCCAGTGGCTGTCAACCCCAGCGAGCCCCTCAACCCTGAAGCGAGGACTCACTTTCGAGCCCAGGCCTGGATGGAGGAACCTCTGGGATGAGGCGGCCCTCGGACAGGGATGGTGACCCAGGTCCCCCTGTCCTCCCGGGCCTGGGGCCGCATCCCCGCCCCCGCGGTGACCCAGTGACCTGGTGACTCAATTCTCGGCCTTCAGCCACCTTTCCTTTTCCAGCCTCTTAAACCTGCCTCCCCGCCGGCAACCGGAGGAAGAGTGTGGGCCGCTGGCACTGCTGTCCCCCGTGCCCACCTGGACCCTGCTGGGATTGGTGGGTTCTGTCCCCCCACCACGGCTCGGTGCTTGAGATAGGTTAAGTAAGTGGTCCGTAAATGGCAGAGGGTTATTTTGAGAACGGAGTGACAGCACCTAGCCAGTTGGCACTCAGGGAGTACTGGCTGTTATTACCCTGTACCAGGCACTGGGGATACCACAGGCAGAAGACCGGGCCCTGGTCTCAGAGAACTGGGCATGGGAGGGGAGACGAACCTGTGAACCCACAATTACAACCCAGGGTGTTAGGGGAGCCAGCTTAAAATGGATAAGTAGTGGCACGTGGAAGAAGGCTTGTGCCTGGCCCGTACTAGGAATGCAGTAAGTCTTTACTGAACAAATGAAAGAACAGATAGTTTGTAGGTGGATCAGCCCCCTCTCTGTCCTTAGCTTTCTTCCAGCAGATAATTAAGGCACTCTCTTAAATTCAGGACTAAGGACAGCAAGGCTGATCTTGACACTGTCCCCTTTCTCACTCCCAATGGCCATCCCCGCTGAGAAACGGGAGTTTTAGGTCAGAATCAAGATGAGCATCCCCTATAGGGAGAAAGCATTGGCACAAGTGTCTTTAGTCTTGTTTCGACCCCTTGACTTCGGATGTACCAGTGTGTATGTGTGCTTGAGCGTGTTCCGAGGGAGCAGATTCCATCCGTTCTTCAAGAGTCTAGGACCCGAGAATGGTCAAGAACACCGACTTAGCAGTGGATGTTCCCTGAAAGGAATGAACGTGGCGGAGTTGTTCCTTTAATGCTTCATGTCACCACTCGCCAGATTTTCACTACTAGAGGAAGTGTGTTTGCATATTGCTGTGCAAGAGTAGTGTTTGGTTTTGTTTTAGAGTATTTGTCTTATTTTCCCCACCAAACTGCCCAATGGCACTGTGCCCACGGTGTGTAGTCGCTGTGGTTCAGGGCTCTGTGTGTGGTGGCTGTGCAGTTACTGTCATTACTTTAGCTGACTTCAGTGGTGTGTATAAGGAGAACAGCCCAAAGGCAGGCCCACATGAGACATCCTTTGTTCTGAGCTGGACATAAATTCGTGCCCTTACTGAATTTGGGTCTGGCTACTTTGGGAACTCAGCCACTGTCTAGTTCTAATCCCTGAATGGTCTTTTTGGAGTAACACGAACTCAGGAGGAATCTGGCTGCTTTGCCAAGCCCTCACCCCTGCCATCTTGCACACAGACTGTTCTAAGTAACAGGAGATGTTCCAGGCGGGGCCAGGCTGAGCAATTCCTTCTTCAGAGAGTGATCCAGTAACACTGAATGTCTGTTGGCCTTCTCTGCACCAACCCCTGCAGTCTCTGGCCCCTGAGTCCCCCTCCTTCCATCTGCCTGCCTTCGACAGCTAGAGCCTCAGCCCTCCCTCTTGCCTGGAAGCCTTTCCTCCGCCCCCTTGCGCCGCCCCCAGCTCAAGGCTCTTCCTTTGTCGCAGCTCCGCCCAGTCGGGACACACTCGCTGGGGAAGTTTCTTCTTTCTTCCCCACTCACTCTGGGGTCTAAGCTGGCGGAGATGGACCATCCAAAACCCAAGGTCCTCCTAGCCAGGCACTGCTGCCCCTCCCTAGGAATGTGGGCCTCAGAGGCCGGCAGTGTGAGGTTCTCTGTGCCGCCCTCCATCAGGTAGATGTCACCGAGGATCCGTGGGCTGAAGGAGCATGTTTCTGTGCCGGGTGGGGGCTGTCGTACGTGGAGCCAGGCAGCAGTGGAGGGCAAAGCTTTGAGTGAGGCAGCACAGACAGTTGTAACTGTGGCATGCAGAGCCACTGGGTGGGGACATTGTCCCCCTTACCCTCACCGGCCTTCTTCCTGCGTGAAAATGCAGCAACACTCACTTGACCCTGCCACCCTGGAGCTTGGCTGCCTGCCCTCTGATGCCCCTTGCCCCCACCCCGTGCAGCAGGAACCGGGCCATGGTGAATGAACCCAGAGGGAATGGTGGCCCCATCCCCCGCTCGGATGGCAGCAGCAGTGGCAGCGAGAGCTCCAGAGATAGTTCAAGATGTTCCACCCCGGGGCTGGACCCCGAGCGGCACGAGAGACTCAGGGAGAAGATGAGGCGGAGGATGGAGTCTGGTGACAAGTGGTTCTCCCTAGAATTCTTCCCTCCTCGGACTGCCCAGGGAGCTGTCAATCTCATCTCAAGGTGAGTTGATGTAAGATTAAGAAGGAGGGTCAGAATGGGGCAGGCAGGGGGAGAGGGTGCTCTGTCAGCCCTGCAGCTGGGCTGCACTTTGACCCGGCAGAAAAAGGCAGCCAGAGAGGGTAGATGAGAGCAAAGGCGGGGTAAATCTTCTGATCTGCAGCTTCTCAGTCGTCTGTAAAAGTCTCTGCAAGCGTCTGGAACTTTTAGACACACTTCAATGGGTTAAAAATGTGGATTCTCTCAAATTGCATTGTTTGGTGGAACTTGGGGCTGGCCGGTGAGCACAGTTAGGAAGTCACAAAGTAGCGGCTTGGAGAACATGTTCAGCAAGTTAGGAATTTGGATTATGCCTCTTGAAATCTAGAAATGCCAACCGCATTACATTAGCACACTATGAATTGCAGTTCCTTTGTTAAAGTTTATGCTTTTTACTATTAGCGTTTCTCATGTGTTGCTCCTAAGGTTTTCAAATTTAAAGGCGCAAGTATGTTTCAGTACACGTGTTATAGCTTGTAACACAAGCACACGTGCACACCCTTGCCTCTCGAGTCTAGTTCAGGAACTGTGGCCTTGCTCTATGGGCTGCTGGCTGCTGCACCGGGACTGGGGGGCAGCGTGACAGAAACTTGTGTCTCCTGACCCTCTTTTATCCTGGTCCTGGAATGAGCCTCTGTTTGCCACTCTGAGCCTTCCCTGAACCCTTGACCACCGAAATGTCTTAACTCACCCAAGGTAATAAATGTGCAAGCACTTTGCAAAGTCAGACGTGCTGCTCTCACACAAAAATGGGTGCATTGTTGTTACATGCTATCTGCACAGTAATGGTGATCATCATAATAGCAGCTCACATGGCCTGAGTGTTCACTGTGTACCAGGCACTGTTCTGAGAGCTGTGGAGCCGTCTATCATAATGTTTCTATAATGTATTATGAAGTAGGGGCTGTCCTCTGCCACAGTTTAGAAATGAGGAAACTGAGGCTCCAAGAGATTAAGTAATTTTCCCAAGATCACGCAACTAATAAGTAGCAAAGCCAGGATATGAAGGCAGGTTGGTCTGATTCCAAACTCCACAGTTACAACTGTCTGTGCTGCCTCACCCATGCTTCTCTAACTCCCAGACCCCATGGGGAGGTGGTGAAGGGGGGTGTGCTCCCAGGAGCCCCTCTTCAGGAAGAAATTCCCTACAGGTTTGACCAGATGGGGGCTGGTGGCCCCCTCTTCATAGATGTGACCTGGCACCCAGCAGGGGACCCCGGCTCGGACAAGGAGACCTCCTCTATGATGATTGCCAGCACTGCTGTGAACTACTGTGGCCTGGAGACCGTCCTGCACATGACCTGCTGCCGCCAGAGCCGGGAAGAGATCACCGGCTATCTGCACAAGGCCAAGCGGCTGGGCCTGAAGAACATCTTGGCGTTGAGGGGAGGTGTGGAGCCAGTGCTCTACTCTCTGGGCTCTTGCTTCCCTGAAGGCCTCTTCTGTCCCTGGAACGGTCCTTTCCTTTTCTCTGGGTCCCACCCCGAGCATGCTCAGGGTCTCCTCCTTGCCAGTAGCATCAGTAGGCCTTGTGGGTAGTGAGAACCATGGGCATCGCACAGATGGAGCCGCCTCTTGACCTCGACGTAGGAGTTCAGTCGGGAATGCAGCTGCTGCCTGATAACCCTCTGCCCTGGCTGCACCGAGCTTCAGCCGTCGCTGGCTGCACTCAGCTCTTGGCCCAAAGAGTGCAGTTCTGGCACTTGTCCCAGGAGTGAGAATAGCTGCTTATGCCTCTGGTGCCTGCTGTCATTGGGCCACCCAAGTATGGGAAGAGGGTCCTGATGGGTGTGATCTTGTGGCCTCATGCTCCCCACCACAAGACCACTTCTCACTTGAGAGGAGTAGAAAATTCTCCCAGGAGGCGAGAACTCCAAGAGGGGAGAGTGAGCCATGGGTTTGGGTGAGGGTGCCTGAGCACACCCAGGTTTGAGAAGGGAAGGGATCTCAGACGCTCCAGGGTAAGCGAAGAACAGCTGCTGTCCCCTGTTCACCACTGCGAGCACAGTGCCCACAGGGTTGGCGCTCAGTAAATGCCAGGTTGGCCGCTGCCTTCCCTCCCACTGTTTACGAGTGCTGTGCTAGAAGGAGGAGACGCAAACTTCGATAATAGGAAGGCTCTGCCTTTGAAGAGCTCACAGTCCTGGGTGTAGAGCTAGGGAGAAGGAACAGAAAGGCTATGTGGAGGTTGGGTGAGACCAGTGACTGTGCCCCCCACCAACTCTGCAGACCCTGTAGGTGACCAGTGGGAAGAGGAGGAAGGTGGCTTCAGCTATGCTGCAGACTTGGTGAAGCATATCCGGAGCGAGTTCGGTGACTACTTTGACGTCTGTGTGGCAGGTGAGTGGCTGGAGCGTCCCAGCGGGTGGGGACGGAGAGGGGAAGGAATGAGACGCACGGAGAGGCACGGAGAGCCCGCCAGTATTCGTTTCAGGACCCGGTAACCCAGTGCGCCACGGCGGGCAGCCTGTGCCAGGTGAGGGAGGTGCAGAGGTGAATTAAACGAGGTCCTCACTCTCATTCTGTCACCGCCTCTCTCCCAGGCTGCCACCACCCCTGAAGTTTTTCTTCCTCTGCCTTTTCATGCTCTTAGCCTACTTCCCAGCCCTATTCTTCTTCTTCTTTAAACAAAAGGGGGATATTTATTAAGATTCCAGGGGGCAGGGAACCTCAGAACCCAAGGTCCGGAAACAGCATCTGTCCTCACAAGGTGCTGGAACCAGCAGCAGTCAGAACCAAGGCCCTCCCTCATTCTCTCTGGAGCCAGAGTCCCCCGTCTCTGCCTCCCACTGCACATCCACTCCATGCTTAGTCTGGCAGACCGCATGGGTATGCTTTCCCACATATGACCGGCCACCTGCTCCTGAGTGCACGTGGTCAGTTCCAGCCGATAGCCCAGACTGCTTGACAGGTCTGTGTCAATTCCAAATTCTCAGGAGAGAGAGTCGGATCGGCTCAACTCTAGTTCCATTGGCTACAGCCAGGAGGCAAGGTTCACCTGCTGGAAACGGATGGGGTGGCCTTCTCTCTTAGCCCTGCTCACGGGGATCAGGCCTTCAGCTTCTCAAATGGGGCCTTGGGTCTGGTGAGTCAGCATGTGCCAGGAACACAAGAAGTCCAGGGAGTAATTTGGCACATCATCTTAGCATGACAATTTTTCTCAAATATTTTGGGGAAAATCATGTCATATTAAAACAAATATGGCTACATTATGGTATAGCATATCAAAGTGATCTGAATTTAAAAATAATCCATATGGTTTCAAGGAAATCACTTTTATGGGTCACTTTGGGCCTCGTCCCAGGCCCCATGTGTGTGTCCACTCTCCTCAGTCCACAGGAGTGTTTAAGTGGATAAGTCTGGGAGGCCCTGGTGAGGAGTTAGGAATACAGCAGGCGTTTCCAGCTGTGTGATGGTTTGTGGCTCACATGGCCACAATCCAGTCCCTTGGGGAACGTGCACATGTGGTGCGGGCAGTGGATGGTTGCGAGGGGCAGCCAGCAGAGCTGTGAGCGGCAGAGGCTGAGGGGTTTGGTGCTTTGCTGGTCATAAAGTGGGTGAGAAAGAGGATAGGGGCTTGGAAAGCATCACGCTGGCCAGGACAGAATAAGAATATAGTAAACTGGGGAAATCCAGATGTAATTAATGCTGGACTTGTTTAGTGATATCGAGGTTTTAAAGCTATAGAGTTTCAGCTAGTAAAACCTCTTTGTTTCTGAAATTCCTGCTGGAAAAATAGGCTTGCTATTGAAAGTGCGAAATCCTGGTGCGTACTCCTCCTGCCCCTCACCCTGGAAGCAGTAGTTTTTACATCTATTTTTGATGACTTAGGGTTTCTTAAGAACGAAACTGCCTTATCACAGCAAAGCAGCTTGGCTGCCCTACAGCCTGGCCCCGGGGTCTGCCCCTTCCTGGCGTGGGGTCCGCCCTGGGCTCAGGCTGAGGAAGCCTGCACCTTGCCTGCAGTTTCATTCAGGCCTGCAGTCTTCCTGTGCAGTGAGGGCTGCTAGTAAGTTCAGTCGTTTGGGGAAGCAGTCATAGAGTTCATGGAGCCACTGAGGAGCCTCCGGGCCGTCTGGTCCAGCCTGTCCTCCCAGACAGTTCTGGAACCCCACCTTCGGCATCCCCGGCATGTGTCCCCCCAGCCGCCCCGGGGTTTTCACACTCCAGGCCCTCCTTGCTCTGTGGGGCTGCTCGTTCCATGGTCAGGCCGCTCTCTGCCATCAGAAGCAACACAGTAAGACTAATAACGAGCTCGGCTGAGGGGAGTCCTTTCCCCGTGACAGACCTCGGAGCATTCTCTCCGTTCTTTGCTTCAAGCAAGACGTCTCTGCTTTCTTCAGTTCTTCCTCGTGTAAAATGGTTTCTAACTTTTCACTGTCTTGGACCCCTGAGTAATTTCAATGGTAATTAAAAGCTCTGTTATAATCCAGTGCCCAGCCTCAAGCCCAGTGGCCAGATGCTGCCCGGCCAGTGCCGAATGTAGCATTTTCTCTTTGCCTTGGCCACAGAATGTAGGCCCCATTTGCCTGGCTGGTTGCAAGGGACATGAGGCAGGACAGGGTGGGGAATTTGGAGCAATCCACCCCGTCTTGGGAGGGTGGCTCTAACCCACTTCTCACAAAAGGTCACGTCCAGGGTCGGGGGCATGTCAGCTGTGAACCCAGCCACTCACTGTTTCAGCCTGTCCATGCTGCAGTGGTGGAGGTACAAGTCTGGAACCCCTGAGGCAGAGAACTCTCTGTCCCCAGCTCTCTGGTTTCTTCATCACTCACCTTGAGCAGGTGGAAGCCAAACTCTCCTACTGTCATCCCTATTGGCAGGTTACCCCAAAGGCCACCCTGACTCGGGGAGCTTTGAGGCCGACCTGAAGTACTTGAAGGAGAAGGTGTCTGCAGGAGCCGACTTCATCATCACTCAGCTTTTCTTTGAGGCTGACACGTTCTTCCACTTTGTTAAGGCTTGCTCCGAGATAGGCATTACCTGCCCCATCCTCCCCGGCATCTTTCCTATTCAGGTGAGGGTCCCAGGAGGGCTAATGGACTCCTCCTACCCCGTCCTAGCACAGGCCAGGGCCCGGGGTGCAATGCCGAGTTCATGGTAAAGTTCTTCTCATTAGATTTTGCATCAGACAGATGCTCTAATCCTTGCAAAATGCCACTGCATTTTGGTTACCTCTAATTTCTCCCCCAAAACAGCAAAAGTACCTGTCGGAGGTGGAGGGGCTTGTTATACCTTTGGCTTACTGACAAGTGTCACTAGAAGGGATTAAATCTCTCATTTAAATTGTGGTCATATTAATGTTTCCCAAACTTGGCTGTCATCAGAATCATTTGATAAGCTTTTTTCAAAAGATGGATTTCCAGGTTCTATGCCCAGAAGTTGTTTCCCCCACCCCGAAAGTCCCAGTACCTAGTTGTATATCCTAGTTGTAAGTCATTCTAGTTTCTCTCTGTGGGATGCTGCCACAGTATGGCTTGATGAGTGGTATGTAGGTCCACGCCCAGTACGCAAACCAGTGAACCCCGGGCCTCTGAAACAGAGTGCGTGAACTTAACCACTCGGCCATGAGGCCGGCCCCCCAGAAGTTCTGATTTAAGAGATCTGAGTTGGGGCCTGGGAATTTGTACATCACATCTTAAGTTTTACTGGTGATTCTGGTGATCACTGGGGCTTGGGAAACACCGGGTTAGATGACCACATGTCATCGATAAAGACATCTAGGGGCTGGCTCAGACCGCTGGCAGGAATGCTGCGGTCAGCTGCTGTACTCTGCAAAGAGTGGAAAAAGCAGGCCCGGGCAAGGTCCTCGTACAGTTTGGTCTGACTTTCCTGGGTCACTCTGTGTCGCACTCCACTTGGCCGGGAGACCTTGTCGGTGGCGGGAAGGGGGAACAAGTGTTTAGGGTGAGCCGGGCTGGGAGACGGCCCACCGCCCCCTCGTGTCTTGCCCAGGGCTACCACTCCCTTCGGCAGCTGGTGAAGCTGTCGAAGCTGGAAGTGCCGCAGGAGATCAAAGACGTGATCGAGCCAATCAAAGACAACGACGGCGCCATCCGCAACTATGGCATCGACCAGGCCGTGAGCCTGTGCCAGCAGCTGCTGGCAAGTGGCTTGGTGCCAGGCCTCCACTTCTATACCCTCAACCGTGAGGTGGCCACCACAGAGGTGCTGAAGCGCCTGGGCATGTGGGTCGAGGACCCCAGGTGAGGCCAGTTGCCCTGACTTCAGGCGGGGGAGCTACCGGGGAAAGCCGGGTGGGCGGGGAAGTCAGAAGTCATAGAATGATCATGCCCGCGTGGTGCTGGCCACCACGGGGCACAGAGGGATGTCTGCACCCTAGCGGCTCCCTTAGGATTCTGGTCTCGGTGGGAACTCCACATGCAGCTTGACATTTGTGAGTCAGAGCGAAGAACCAGGCTCAGCGTTGGCCAGCTCCTCCCTGCTCCCTCTAGCCAGCCCTTACTGTTTCTGTCTCTGTTCTCACCCAGGCGCCCCCTGCCCTGGGCTCTCAGTGCCCACCCCAAGCGCCGGGAGGAAGATGTCCGTCCCATCTTCTGGGCCACCAGACCCAAGAGTTACATCTACCGCACCCAGGAGTGGGATGAGTTCCCCAACGGCCGCTGGTGAGCTCTGCAGACGATCCGTTGCAAATGAATCCTGTTTCTTGGGAGGAGGGAGGCAGGAGTTCACGTGCTTCCGGTTGAGCCCTGGGAGGGGGAGCGACAGGATTCAGAGCCGTGCTCCCTGGGCAGGCGGGTGCGACTGTCCGTCTGCAGGGAGCCCAGGGTCAGGAGTGACCTCCTGGCGCCTCCTCCAGGGGCAATTCCTCCTCGCCCGCCTTCGGGGAGCTGAAGGACTACTACCTCTTCTACCTGAAGAGCAAGTCCCCGAAGGAGGAGCTGCTGAAGATGTGGGGGGAGGAGCTGACCAGCGAGGAGAGCGTCTTCGAAGTCTTTGCCCACTACCTCTCGGGAGAGCCCAACCAGAACGGCTATAAAGTGAGTGGGGCTGAGGTGGGATCCCTGGGGACCTCCCCCGCCCTGGCTCCCCATGGGCCAGACCACAGGGTGGTGACTTCCCCGCCCTCCCCACCCTGAGCCTCATCTTTCCGTGTCTGGACGTGGCACCTCAGCAAAGGGAAGGGTGAGTTGGGGCGTCCCCACCTAAGGGTGCCTGGAAGGGGCGTTAGAGGCAAAGACAGGCTGGTCTCTGATGGGGCTCATGAGAGGGAGAGACCCAGGGAGCCAGATCTGATTGTTGCCCCAGCTGGGCTCCCCCGCTCTCCCAGGTGACTTGCCTGCCCTGGAATGATGAGCCCTTGGCTGCCGAGACGAGCCTGATGAAGGAGGAGCTGCTGCGAGTGAACCGGCAGGGCGTCCTCACCATCAACTCCCAGCCCAACATCAATGGGAAGCCGTCCTCCGACCCCGTCGTGGGCTGGGGCCCCAGCGGGGGCTATGTCTTCCAGAAGGTATGGCAGGGACTCACAGGGCTACCCCACCTTGGCCGGCACCCCAGAGATGGGGGCAGAGAAGCCTTCCTCTCTGGGGGCCCTTTGTTCTGAGGGGCAGTGGATCGGGGACGGAGCTCAGGCTTTAAGTCAGATCTACTCAGGAAGGCAGGGCTCTTGACGGCTCTGAGCCTCAGCTTCTCTTATGTAAACTGGGTCTATGTCCTGTCATGTTCTGGGGATGGAAAGTGACAAAGCACATAAAGAGCCTGGCCCATGGGAAGAACATGGGAAGCATTCGCTAAATGGGAGCTATTATTACCCTTCTGAGCTGACGCCTCTCCCCTAGGGCTGCTGAGTTAAGACTGCTTTCTAAACTGAAGCCCTGGGCTCTGGAGTTGGAGAGACCTGGGTTTGAGTGCCAGCTCGCTGTTTGCCATCAGTGCAGCCACCTTGCCCAGCTGCCCTGAACCTAGTCTCCTCATCCGTAAAATGGGGACGGTGGTGCCCACCCTGCAGTGTTATAAGCCTTATAGCAGATGAATTTAAATAAACCCAGCATAACCCCCCCGATTGACTCTTGCTGCTGGAGAGGCCCTCGGTGTCATTGTTACACCTGGCGAATGGGGAAGACAGGACACGTCAGGCCTCTCTCACATGCCTTAGCTTGTCGGACTGGGCCTCCTCGACAGCTTCTGAAAGGGTTTCTCTATGGAGCCTTCCCCAGTTGGAAGAAGGGTGGCAGATGGCCCTCGCACGTCCAGAGAGAGAGATCTTCCATACCTGCTCCCCTCCCTTTGCTTATGTATTTTCCAGCTCCACAGTTCATGATTCCAGCCATGTGGTCACCACTGGTCCCAGTGCCTTAAGTGTCCTGCCACATGTGTCTGTGTGGGTGCCTCCCTGGGATGGTCGGGAGGGCAGGCAGCTGGTGTTTCAGGCACACGGCATGCTCAGCAGCACACAGAAGGCATCCAGCAAGGACTTGGGTCGTGTGACAGGTGCCGGCCTCTCTCCCACAGGCCTACTTAGAGTTCTTCACTTCCCGCGAGACAGTGGAAGCGCTGCTGCAGGTGCTGAAGAAATATGAGCTCCGGGTCAACTACCACATCGTGGACGTGAAGGTAGGCCAGCTCCCGGGCCCGGGCCAGGCACCGTGCAAGACAGATACGCAGACAGAGCCAGGCCCCTGCCCCAAAGAGCTCCCGGCCTCATGAGGGAGACCATCAGGGGATAATTCAGACTCGGTGTGAACAGAGAGTAAAGTTCAATGTAGGGTGCTGGGGACCCAGGAGGCATGTCTAACCTGAGACGGCGAGGAAGGCTCTAGCAGGGGTCCTGTGGCCTGAATCTTTAAGGACAAGGAGGAGAAGGGCATTCCACGGAAAGGGCAGAGGGCGTGCAAAGGCATGTGCTGCACAGCCTGCGGGGGCTCTGCTGAATGGGGTCAGAGGGAGGCTGAAGTGTTAAGCAGGGGCCAGGTCCTTGTCCTGCTTGGAATTTGTTTTTTTCCGTACAGGCCAGAGGGAACCTTTCCCAGCAGTGGAATGACTTGGCTCCATGTTTTCTTTTAGGCAGGTGACAGAGGACAGCTGGGGCCGGAGAAGACTAGAATCAGAGGCCCTTTTAGTCTGACTAGCAGAGAGCAGTGAGCTAGACATGAGGGGACAGATTGGAGAGTGAGCAAGCCGAGCCACCGGACATGGAGCTGATGGGGACGCAAGAGAGGAAGGAGATGCCCAGGACGGCCTCTAGGTTTGGGGCTCACAGTTTGCACCTCACAGAGCTGCAGAGCTAGGCGGGGTGGGCAGAGGGCATGGAGCAGAGCGCTCCCGTGAGTTGAGCCCCCCAGGCAGGCAGAGGACTGCAGCGTCTTTGCCCCAAGTCTGCTCTTACCCCACGCGCTCCCCTCAGGGTGAAAACATCACCAATGCTCCTGAGCTGCAGCCCAACGCCGTCACTTGGGGCATCTTCCCTGGGCGAGAGATCATCCAGCCCACGGTGGTGGATCCCATCAGCTTCATGTTCTGGAAGGTAAGGGGGCCGAGAGCGGGCCTGCCCTGCCCACCTCAAAAACCTTGGGCAGGCAGTATGGCCGGGACCCCAGTGTGGCAGGAGGCCATACCCCCGGGGCTGGCAGACTCGGCCTTCCCAGCTGCACCCTGATTCTGACTCATGGTATTTATTTCTGGGTGTGGGGGGGGAGGTGACACTAGCAGTAAGTCTTGTTCTATTCCTGGAAATGTCCTGTTGGGCAGCGGCAGAGGCCCTTGGGGCATGGAGCCCTGACCCAAGGGCAGCTCTGTTAACCTTGCCTGTGTGTGTGTGTGTGTGTATGCGTGTGTGCCTGTGTGCCTGTGTCTGTGTGCATGTGGATGTGCAGGATGAGGCCTTCGCCCTGTGGATTGAGCAGTGGGGCAAGCTGTACGAGGAGGAGTCCCCGTCCCGCATGATCATCCAGTACATCCACGACAACTACTTCCTGGTCAACCTGGTGGACAATGACTTTCCGCTGGACAACTGCCTGTGGCAGGTGGTAGAAGACACATTTGAGCTTCTCAACAGGCCTGCCCCGAATGAGAGGGAGATGGAGGCTCCGTGACCCTGCACTGACACCCTTGGCTTGAGGCCACCTGTGCCGCCTCCGTCCTCCCCAGTCCTGGTTCTCCTGAGGACTCCTATTCTTCTTCGTTTCTCCCCAAGCCCTGGCCTCCACTCCCCGACAGCATGATGGCAGCTAGACTGGAGTGAGGCTTTTGGGCTCTGGCTGGACCTGAGTCAGCCCCATGTGGAGCCCCATGTTCCCTGCTCATCCCAGAGCTTGTGCTCTTTCGTGGGGAGCACCTCCATCCTGCAGAGGAGCACGGTGGGCGGAGCGCCATCCTCCCTGAGGGGAGGAGACCGGTTGTTGGGTGAGCCCTTCCGCCAGGGCAGCCCCTAGGACCGGCCTGGGACTGCAGTGACCTTGCACTTGGGGTCTGCGGAGGACAGGCAGAGCCAACATGGGCAGCAGGCACTGTGGTTTTGCAGAAGAAACATGGCAAAGCGAAGGTGCCGCCCTCTTCTGCATCCAAGACGTTGGTGGCTGGACACTGCCTCCCTGTGACCGAGGGACAGACCCCTGCCCTGCCTGCCTGCCGCCTGCACGGCCCCAGTCCTGCCCGGCGTCGGGCTGACCCCGGCTAATGCATTTCTTGCTCAGCTGGGTTTCCCCTTTCTGCAGTGCTGCTGCTTGGAAGTGTCATGTCTGTATCCTGGAGGCTCGAGAGAGTGCCCCTCAAGGGTTACAGGCGTCTGAAGCCCTGTGCTTGGTGGAGCGAGCCCCTGGCCATGAAGGAATACCCAGCCCGTTACCGCCAAGGGCTGGGATGCGGTCCCCCCCAGCAGGCTTATTTCTTCCTGGCCTATTTTTGAGGTGGGATCCCCTCCTGCCAGCTGCTCCCTCCCTTCTCTGCACCCTGTCCCAGAAGCTGTCCTGGCCTTGCTCCCCAGGAGTCAGCCCTCAAGCCCCGCTGCCCAGGGGCGGTGACTGGCAGATGCACATAGCTGATCCCTGTCCTCGTCCCTGCCTGCTGGTCTTCGCTGGCTCAGCAGGAGGGTGGGGCTGGACGTCCAGAGAGCAGCCTGATGGCAGAGGAGGCGGGCGCAGTTGTGGGCGTGTCCTCTTCCCTTCCTTCCCCGGTCGGGCGGGCTGGGGCCAAGGGGCAGCTTTAGGAGAGACTGAGCAAGAGAAGCAGCCAGGACTATAGAGGGCGTTTTATTGTCCTTTGGAGCTCCTGGGATGGGTGCTGGCCTGACAGCCTCGCTCCCCGGGGGGTGGGGCATGGTGCCTTCGCTGGGAAGGCTGGGCTCGGTTTCTGTTTTTCTTTCCATGGGAACAAGTCACAGCTGCAGCTGGGCCCCCTGCTCCGCCCCACGTCCAGCACACTCAGGGGCTTGGGCAGCTTCCAGCCTGCTCCCAGGGCTCCTGATGGCTGGCTTGCTCAGGGGTCTCGGGCTGCCAGTGGCTCCTCTCATCAGGTCCCTGGCTGCCAGGTGCTGTTGCCACTTCTCAAAGGCCTGCAGTCAGGGAGGGGGGAGCAAAGGCAATCTGGCTGCCGGCTGAGTCTGTGTTCTAAGTGCTGGGCTAACACCGTGCCCAGCTCCCTCTGTCCCGGGGGAATAGGAGGCCCCTCCCTCCGCCCCAGGCCAAATGCAGGGCTTGGAATAGACCTGACTCGTGATCTAGGAAGCTTTGCTTGGAGCACATAAATGAGGGGGCGCTCAGACCCACACCCTGAGCCAGCATGGGTGTCAGATGTGCCACAGGCCAAGCCTTGTTCCCAGACTGAGTGATGGGTAGGACTGGCTGAGCACATGGCCACCAATTAAACCAAGGGCTCTAGAGTCCAAGCTGTCTTCTCTACCCGAGCTGATCCCTCCCTGCAAATGGAGAGGCCCTGGGGTGGTGAGCAGGGAGGGCCCACAGCCCGGAAATGTCCAGGCGGCCTACTGGAGGGTGGCGGCTGCCCCCCAGTACCTGGGAAAGGACCCAGCCGTCGCCTTGCTGCTGTAATCGCTGAGCCACCCGCAGCCGCAGGACCCACCTCCGCCACGTTCGCCAGGCCCATCTCAGGTGCCACTGCAGGAGCTACAGGGACAGTTGGGAGAAGGCCCCGAGCTGGGCCTGCTGCTGCCTCTGGCACCCGCGCTCCCCGGCAGCCCCAGCTGCTCTGCTGCCTCTCCCCCTGCAGCTCTGCGGCACCAGGATGAAAGGGATGTAACAAGGCAGGTGTCATCTGAGGTGCCTTAAAAATGCAGATTCCTGAGCCTGTCCCCCAAGGGTTCAGATGTGGTCCGTCCAAAGACCAGACTTTGAGAAACTTTGTTTCTAGGGTTTAGGGTTGAGGTGGCAGATCAGTGTGAGGGTGGGGAGGGGCTGCCCCCACTCACCAGTGTCCGAGCCAGCTGTTCTGCCCCCTGAGCATCTACCCAACGCTGCCATGTCACTGCCAGGCGCCTGGCCTGCTGGGTACCCTGGAGCCGGCGAAGCAGTGCCTCGAGCTGCCAGCGTTGCAGGTATTTCCTCCTGTGGGGAGAGGCCCTGGTGTGCATCTGAAGGCCAAGAGCATCACGACCCCTTCCTGACCAGGAAAAAGGGCAGAGCCATGGGCCTGCTCCTCCAGGATCCTGCAGGGACGAGGTCTGTCCAGAGAGGGCCCAACTCCAGCTGTGGCTCAGGCAAGCCCCTTGGCTCTGTCCCCACCCCAGCCACCCCACTCACGCCACACAGCTGCTCTCACCCCAGCCGCCTCTGATTGTCAGCCTCGCCTTTGCCCTTGAGGGTGCCGGTCTCAGAGCTGCAGCCCCCTCCTGGTCCTGTAGGGAGCCGATTCGGTGTCCAGCTGCTGTGTCCAGGCCAGTGCAGCCAGAGCTGGAAGGAGTGGCAGAGGGGAGGCTCTCTGTCACCTGGAACGGAGTGGAGTCAAGAGGTTAGCACATTTGTGCAGGAGGGCAAAACCCTCCCTTAGTCCACTCCTAGAAGTTGAGGGCAATGAAGAGGGGTGAACCTTAAAAGCTGTTGAGTTAAGCATGGCGCCCCCCCCTTCCCCCACGTCTGCCCAAGCCTCCAGTGGCCCTGGGCTGCCACCCAAAGAGAAGTAACAGGGCAGGAGAAGGGGTAATGGTTTCTCAAAATGGCTGAAATATTCCAGAAGAGGAGATGGATGGGGAAACACAGTACATTAGTCCCCTGTATCCAAGGGGGTACATTCCAAGCCCCCCGGTGGATGCCCAAAATCGCAGATAGTACCAAACCCTGTACGCTGTGTATACTGTGTTTTTTCTCAACATACATACTTGAGGTGCAACAGCAAAACTAGCACAAATTTCTTTTTCTTTCTTCACATTTTCATAGAAGATTCATCCTTTATCCATAGATCTTAGCAACCTCAACGTACCATTTGTTTTCTTTCTTTATTAAATTGAGAACTTTCACTTTTTCACTCAGAGGAAGCACTTTACAGCTTCTCTTTGGCATATCTGAATTGCCAGCATCCTTGCACTTTGGGGCCATTAGTAAGTGACATAAGGTCTCCTTGAACACAAGCCCTGCGATCTGATCTGATACCTGAGACGGCTAAGTGACTAATGAGCTGGGGGTGTATACAGTGGGTACTCTGGACAAAGTGATGATTCACCCTGAGGGATGGGGTGGGCCTACACAAGATTTCATTATGCTGCTCAGAATGGCACACAATTTAAAACTTATGAATTGTTTCTTTCTGGAATTTTCCGTTTACTATTTTCAGATCGCAGGTAACTGAAACCGCGGAAAGTGAAACCTCAGATAAGGGGGACTACTGCAAATACATAAGATGGATTTGCCAAGGGCTTGAAGCTGATTCCCAGACCCTTGAGGGCTGGTGACCTCTCACCCTGCACTTCAGACATGTGGCCCCAAGGGCAGGTCTCCTGACTTTGGGCCCAGGCCATTTCTCTCGGCTTGCTCTGTCCGCAGAGGCTGTGGTGCTGGGTTGAGCCAGGCAGCATGGGCCCTGTGGCCTGTGGACTGCAGCTGTGGGTCTGAGGGAACACCAGAGAGGAAAACCTGAACCAGTGGTTTGGATCTCCTGGGACCCAGGTGACCCGGCAGGCTTCCTTTCCCACCCTGCCCCTGACGGACAGTGGGGCCTCCTACTTGTGTGTGCGCAAGTGGGACGGTTCATGTTGCCCCGCGTTCTCCCGCGACCCCCGAGGCTCCCAGGGGAGACAGAAAAGGTGCCCAAGAGCAGTATGGCCATCAGTACCCAACACTGCCTCTTCCCCCATCCTCCCATGTGGCTGGAGATTCAAGCAGGGGGGTGGACCAACAACAGCTACCACTTGTGGGAGCTTACCTGTGCCAGGTACAGCCTGTGAGGTGGGTGTTACCCTCCTCACTTCAGCTTTACAAAGTTACGTGGCTTGCCTGAGGCCCCACCTCTTGGGAGTGGTCTGACTCCAGAGCCAGAGCCCGAGCCCCAGCCGCAGGGGCTAAGGGACTCTGCCACCATGAGATGGCAAAATACCTGCTCGCATCCCTAGGTGAGGGCTTCCTGTGGTAGACAGGCGGGGCTGGAATTCAGCACCCCAGCTACCATCCCCAGCATTTGCTTCCGGTTTCTACAAGCTTCAGTTTCTCCATCAGTACGTGGGATCCCTGCCTGCCTTTGCTGACAGGCATGGACTGAAAGTGTTTATAAACGTACTCTGAAAATAAAATTGTCTTGTAACACAGATCTAGGAATAAAATACCCTGAGACCCCAGGACCTGCCCTAACCTCACAATGCAAGTGTGTATTCTGCAAGCAATCAAAGTTAGTCCCTCTCAATTCCATTAAAAAAACACGTCAATCTTTTTTCTTAGAATCTTTCTAAAGTCCATTATGTACTTCCTGGCATTTTGAAATAGGGTTCTTGAGGATGCCAGTACATCTTTAGGAACACTACGTGACCTGCCAGTGACTCTGGGACTGTGTGTCCCCCAATGACATGTCCCTAGACTGCCAGGCAGTGTCACTTCCTGCGCTTGGCTTTCACTGTGGCCTCTTCCCTCCTAGGCCGTCAAGCTCTTGTCACCATTTGCTGGTGTCAGAACTAACAGTTTCTGGCCTGGAGAGGGGCTTGCAGTTATTTTTTGCTAAAGAGAGTTATGAAAGAAAGGTTTCGTTTATATTTTCTGATTTTTCTGTAACAAGCATGTTTAATTTTTCCAACAAAGAGGAGAAGAATTTTACAAAAATTTGCTACTGTCCCCATGTACCTATCTGGATCCCAGACTGCACCATGACATGTAATGAGTTTAGCTGCCTGTGTCCCTAGCCGACTGTGACCCCAGCACTTGTCTTTGTGGCGGACCTGTGCTGGGCTGGCACTCGGCAGGTGCTTAGGAGCTGTCTGCTGATAGACCGAAGTTGGCTGTCTTCCAGAGCCAGGAGGCTGTCCCGAGAACAGGGTAGGGGTGGTGTCCACAAGGCCGCCGGGCCCCTGGAGAGGCATCCAGCCGTGGGCCGACACAGGCTGATTCTGAGGTCCCCAGGTCATTTTTGGACCTCCCGCCCCACCTGCACCCTGCTTCACCTGCTGCCACGGGGCTGCAGCGTCGATCACCACCAGGAGGCACCCTCTGCTGGCCAGGCTGGGCCAGTGCCTAAGGTCGGACCTGGGCCGGGGGTGGGCTGTGCTGGCCTCCCGGGCCCTGGACGGTGGTTCCAGCCTCACTCTGAGCAGCGCTGTCTGCCACTGGGCCCAGTGGGTCCGCAGGAGGTGCCTGGGCCCAGCCTGCTGGAACTGGCTGATGGTGGCTCTCTGGACACGGCCCTGGGCTGCTGACCGGGCCCAGGCCTCCAGGACCCTGGGGGAGAGGGAGGAACTCACACCAGAGGCCATCAGGGCCAGGACTCTCTGGCAGCCGTGTAAGGAGCCCTCCCCAGCCCTGGCCAGTGCCTTGCGGGAAGGGGACCTCCAGACAAAGCCCCCAGCCTGGGTTCCTCCTCCCCCATCCCTCTTCTGGAGAAATCAGGGTGAAATGGGCACGGAGAGCAGCCGAATATCACACAACAGGGACAAGTATCCTATTTAGAGGAGAGAGAGAGGGCAGTCCTTCCCTCACAGGAACCCTGGTTTATTGAGCACTTGCTGTGTGTCTGGCCCAGGGCAGGCCCACCCCACAAGGCAGGCCTGTTATCTTCCTCTGAACTTTAGAAATAGAGACTTGCCCAAAGAGGGGTCCACAGCTGGAAAGTGCAGAGCTGGGATCTGACCCCAGGACGAGCTGCAGTGACCAGGACCGCCTCTCCCTTTCACCCCCAGCCTCCTGGGCCCTGGCAGAGCCACCACATACCCTCTACTCCTGCCCAAAACAAGCTCAAAGGCCGAGCTGGATGCACAGGGTGGGGCCACCCTCAGGCCGCAGGCACCCACCTGGCGCTCAGCTTCCGGGCAGCGTGGGCTCGGCTGAGCCTGTGTAGGCGGGACTCACGCACCCACAGCGTCCAGCACAGGGCCACCCAGGCCTGGGCCCGAGCTCCCTCCTCTGCCTGCTGGCGGGCCTCGCGGCGCTGGCCCAGGGCCACTCTCCATGATGTGAAGGCCTGATGGGCCTGGGCCTTCCTCAGCTGCCTGTCTGCCCGGCCCCCCTGAGCACAGCGTCTCCAGTGGGCAATGGAGGCCCGGGTCACGCGCTGCTCCTGTGCCCAGGCTGCGGCCACTCGGGACTCCTGCCATGTGACAAAGGCAGCCCGCAGTGCCCGTCTCCTCAGGCCATCCTGGAAGGCTCGACACTTGGCCTGGAGCACACCTGTGTCTCTCACAACTCCACACCAGGCCTGGAAATGGCTGCAAGACAGGAGCAGAGGAGGGGCCCCAGTGGCTCTCAGAGTCAAGAGTCACATTTGTTCAAAATTACACCTTCGAATCCCCCACACAGTGTCACAGGTTATACACGGTTTGGCATACACAACCCTGTGCCTTAAAAATGTATGGAGCAATGGGTAACAGGTGAAAGCGCTGGCTGTCACCTGGGAGCCTCGACACACGCACTCCGGCTCACTGGAGGTTGTGGGTTCAAGTCCCAGCTCTACCAGAGGGACAGCCATGCCCTGCCTCCCCTCACAAGCCCACTCCAGGGCAGGAGGTCAGTGGGGAGGACACAGCTCCCAACTCCCTGATGGGCCAAGAATGTCTGATTGTCTATGCCGTTCAGATGCGAAAGCACAGAAGTCAGCCACTCTGCGGTCAAGGGTTCGCTGTCCCCGTGGGGACACTGTGAACGTTTGCAAATTTGTAAGTGAACTTGGGAGAAAGCATCATCGGTCCCTCTGCCTTTAATACGCGTTAATGGACTGTACACGTTTAACTAGAACACCTCTATTTAAATTGAGGTTTCCCTCTCTTCCTGCAGCCCGTGTACAGAATTCCCGTGTGCTAGGACTCCTCAAACACCACACGGTACTGGAACCCACGTTACGGTGGCTGTTTGAGGGGTTGACTTCCCTCATCTTAATACTATCCTCTGAAACCAAACGACTGACCTGGCCTGGAGCTGGAGCCTCGGCTTGTCAGGGCATCAGGTGTGGCGAGGGGCTTAGCATCCCCCACTCCCCAAAGCAAGCAGATAATGGAAGGTTGGTGGTCATGGCTCTATGGCTCCAGGCTTCATGCCCCCATCTCCGAGGTCCCAGGCCTCCAGCCTGGACTGTTCCAGAGCCACAGAGGCCACCCAGCTGCCCATGCCCTGGGCTCTCTCCTTGTTTCTCCGAGGTGGGGATGACCCTCGCCCTCCCACCCCCAGGCCCACCCACCTCTGCAGTAGGAGCTGCTCTGGCTCAGCCACCATGTGTCTCCGACGAGCTGTCGCCTGCTGCCAGCCTTGGAACACGGCCCTCCGCAGGCCCTGGAGGTGGACCTGCACCCACCTCTGGTACTTCTGATGCAGGAACTGCTGCCCTGTGGTCAGAGAGATGCTGAAGTGCCACTGGGTGCTCAGCTGGCCTTGCCCCTGGGCCCCAGGGTGACCGTGGGCCCCCGCTCAGCCAGCCCTTTGCCCTGTACCCACGTGGGAACAGAGGAGGGCACCCTAACTGGCTGGGTTAAAATGCTTCAGTTACAGGTGTCCTATTGCTGACCAGGCCAACCCAACTCATAGACGTTTTTTTGTTTTTTAAAATTTTATGACGTTCGGGAACCAGGAGAATTCATGTAAAAATCTAGATTTCCAGCTTTTCTTTAAAAATAGAAGGTCTGGCAACACTGGGCCAGCATTCCTGGGTAACTAGGCAGCTGGGCTGGAGAAGCAGCTGTCCCAGTGGACAGGACATGAACTTTCCAGAACAACCAAGTCCCTACCCGCCAGCCCATTGATAGGATGTATCTGTGTAGGGGGAAGCCTCTAAAATGGCCCCCAATGATCCCGCCTCCTGTGCTGGGCTCCGAGGGTGCCATGACCCAGCGCTCAGACCCCTGACTCCCGAAGGCCAGGCGAGGATGACAAGGATGAAGATGAAGAAGAAGACGAGGGTGGTAACCCCTCCTAGGAGCTGGCTTCTGAGCCAAGCACGTTGCATGGATTGCCTCACAGGATTGCCACAGTCTCCCTGGGAGGTGGGTGCTACTGTTATCCCCAGGCTACAGATGAGTAAGCTGAGACTCAGACAGGTTAAGTAGCTTGTTTAAAGTCCACACAACCAGGGAATGGAAGAGCAGGGGCGTGGAACCCAAGACTACAGTGTCCACGACCCCAGGTTCTGCTCTGCCACCCCAGCCCTGGGTGCACCCTGAAGGAGGTGCCATTGCTGGACTCTGCGCTAGGGGACACAGAATCCTGGGTGTCCCTGATGGGCCCTGGCCCTTCCCCCACCCTCAGTGCCCCATCCCAGGCCCCGACTCACTCTGCCAGCGGGAGCGCCAGCGGCACAGGGCCTCTCGCACCCGTCTCCGGCCCCGCTCCCGGGCCCACTGCTCCGCCTCCTGCCACTGCGCCAGCCGCCGCCGCCACAGGCCCAGTGTGGCCCTGCAGCTCCGAGCCCAGGCCCAGCGGACAGCCAGCTCTCTCTGGGCCCCTTGGGCTGCTGCCCAGCGGCTCCAGCCAAGGAGGATGCTGGGAAGGGGAGCATCCACCCTGAGGATGGTCACTGCCCCCCGGGGCCGGCCCAGACCTCCCTCCCTCCCCTCAGAAGCAGGAGCTTGGAGTGACTCTTCTCCGTTTGCGTCATGTGAGGAGTGGGTTGCTGGGGGCTGGAAGGCTTAAACGCTACTCTGAGCGTCACAATAACCAGCGGTGGGAATAAGATGGGACCCCAGACCCCTAGTGCCAAGTCCTGTGCTCAGCCACTAGGGAGAAACATTGCTATGAACTGAGTGCTATGTGCCAGCACTGTGCTGGGGGTGCACGTGCCCTTTCCTCACTAATTCCTATCGGAGTGAGTACTAATATTACACCCATACAAACAGAGAGACAGAGGCACAGAGAGGTTAAGCAACTTGCCCAAGATCACAGAGCCAGTGAGGGGCAAAGCTGTGATTAGAACCTAGGCTGACCGACTCTCAGGCATTGTGCCACGAATGAATAAATGAATGAACCACAGCTGTGAAATCTCTGGGAGAAATTATTACTCGGTTGAGTGCACACCCCCCCCCCCCCCCCGCCACCTCCCAGCAGGGCAGGTGGGAGGGCAGGAGGAGTTGAGAGGATCTGAGTCTGGAGGCAAAGACCCGGGTGGGAGGGGGAGACCTCTGGGAAGCAGACCCCAAGGGGATGCTGCTGTGAAGGTCAAGGATCGATGGGAAAGGGGCTGCGGGGAAGCAGTAAATCCACAGAGTGGTGGGCAGCACGGCTCAGCAGCCCTGGGGAGGGGCCCCTACCGCCTCTGAAGGGGGCTCTGGTGCCACCTCACTGCGCCTCGGGGCTGCTGGCACCGCCCCTGCTGCTGCCCGGCCGCCCACGGCAAGCTCCCCCCGAGGCTCTCCAGGAGGGCGGGGGCCCTGGACGCCTGGGGAAGGAGGTGTGGAGTCCTGGGTCCTCTGCCCTGTCCCCAACCTCTCCCCCTGCCTGCCCCCTACCTGCCCATCCCCTCCCCCTCCCCATCCCCTCACCTCCTCCAGCGAGCTGCCCTGTGTGCTGCAGCCCAGCGAGGCCTCCCATCCCGGGATGCCGCCCAGCGGTTCTGGGGCAGAGGGGGTCCTGGTGCTGCCTGACGGGGTGCCTGGACCCCACGCCCTCAAGCGCCACCTCCTCAGGATGCGCTGCAGCATCCGCCGCCTCATGCCCTGCAGGAAGGAGCTACAGGAAGGGGCAAGTGAGTCCCTGGGCCCCAGCCTCACACCTGCTGGGGGTGCTGCCAAGCAAAGCGGGCCCCTGCAAAAGAGCGGAGCTGGAAGGTGCCACCAAGTGCCAAACACCAGGCTGGAGCTCTGCACCATGGCCTCCTGAACCGGCCGCACGCTGGGATGGCTGGGGGTCTGAGAAACACTGATGCCCATCAGGGTCCCACCCCCAGAGGGGTGAGTTCATGGTCTGGGTGCAGCTTGGGCTTCCCGACTTTTCCTAAGCTTCCAGGATAACTCTCCTGAGCAGGTTAGGCCCGTACCACCACTCTCCCTGCATCACCTGGCTGAACCCCCTTCGCCCTCTGCATCACCTGGCTGACCCCCTGCCTTACCCCCTGCATCACCTTTCTGACCCCCACCTCACCCCCTGCATCACCTTTCTGACCCCTGCCTCGGCCCCTGCATCACCTGGCTGACCCCCCCACTCGCCCCCTGCATCACCTGGCTGACCCCCCGCCTCACCCCCTGCATCACCTGGCTGACCCCCCGCCTCGCCCCCTGCATCACCTTTCTGACCCCCGCCTCGCCCCCTGCATCACCTTTCTGACCCCTGCCTCGGCCCCTGCATCACCTGGCTGACCCCCACCTCACTCCCCGGGTGGGTGGGGGCCGTGTAGCTGATGAAGGCTGGAGCCAGGCCCCAGGCCCAAGGACTCCAGACTCAACAGCCCACATGTATAGTGACCACATCAGGACTTCTGCCTAGGCTCAGTTATAGATAGGGAAACTGAGGCCTGGTGAAAGGTCATTTCCCCAAACTCCAAACAGCAGCAGACCAGGGATCCAAACACTCAGGCCACAGGGCAGCCCCAGATACACTGCAGGGAGACATCAGCTGTGCCCTGATTCCCAAAGGCCAGAGGATGGATGGGGGTGGGGGGAGGGCTACATTGCAAAGGATCATGGTGTTCCTGGAGTTCCAGGGGTGCATTAAAAGAGACTGAGGGTCCAAGTAGACCAAGTGAGTATGGAGATGATGGATGCTAGGAATGTGGCTTTCAAGGACAGGATTCTTAACCCTGCAACTGCTGGCTTATGTTGGTCCTGACACCCATCGGGGAAGCTGGCCCCTTGTGAGCCTCACCACTCCCCCTACAACCTACAACCATCAGCCTGGGCTCTGAATCCCAGCAATGACCATCTAGTGTAAAAGCAGCATCAGGAAGGTCTCACCACAGGGCCTTCCTGCTCCTGAGTCACGGTGTGACTTAGAGGAAGCTGCTCGCCCCCTCCGAGCCTCAGCTTCTCTGGCTGAATAACGAGGCAGACGGGGCAGGAGGTAAGGGCTCTGCTCCGTGGCTGCCGCTCCTGCTCTTTCACAGTGTTTATTCCCGCCTTCCACATGCTCGGAGTCGACCCGGCTCCCGCCTCCTCCCTCAGACTCCCTGGGCTGAGAGTGAAGAGACTGATGCTGCCCAGAGAGAAACTGACATCCAGGCCGAGGGAGGACACACGGTCCCCACCTGTCCACCCGCAGGAGCAAAGGTGCGCTGAGCGACCCCTGTTCTCTTCCAGACAGTTCCTTCCACTCCTGATCACATCAGTGACTGCGGGAGGGACATCTGCTTTTGTTTCATTCTCCTCAATACTATTTGGACTTTTTAAAACAAACATGTATTAAGATAAATATTATTTAAATAATTATTTTAAACACATCTGTTTAATTTCAGAATAAGAACCAAAATGATATGTCACCGTAGTGGTAAATGGAGGGAACGAAGAAGAAAATAGCCAACATTAATCCCACGGCTCCAGAGAAAAACACTCTTCACATTTTAGCATTTTGGGGGGGGGGGCGAGATTTATTTCTATTTTTAATAGTGGCAAAATATGCATAATATTAAATCCACCACCATAACCATTTTTAAGTGAACAGCTCGGTGGTGTTAAATAACGCTCACTGTTGTGCGACATTTTCACATTTTTCTGTCTGGTCTTTCTTCTATGCTCTGTTTTATGTTCATAGGAAAAATATCTTGGATGCTATTTTTTACCCTCCTTTTTTTTTTCATTTAACATTGTCATAGCCATTTTTCTTTGTCATTGAAAACTCTATGCAGGGGCCGGCCCCATGGCCAAGTGGTTAAGTTCACGTGCTCCACTTCAGTGGCCCAGGGTTTCATCGGTTAGGATCCTGGACGTGGACATGGCACCGCTCATCAGGCCACACTGAGGCGGCGTCCCACATGCCACAACTGGAAGGACCCACAACTAGAAATACATAACTATGTACCGGGGGGGCTTTGGGGAGAAAAAGGAAAAATAAAATCTTAAACAATAAATAAAAAGAAGAAAAAAAAAAGATTGGCAACAGATGTTAGCTCAGGTGCCAATCTTTTATTTATTTATTTATTTATTTATTTTTATTTATTTATTTTGAGGAAGATTAGCCCTGAGCTAACATCTGCTGCCAATCCTCCTCTTTTTGTTGAGGAAGATTGGCCCTGAGCTCACATCCGCGCCCATCTTCCTCTACTTTATACGTGGGACGCCTACCACAGCATGGCGTGCCAAGCGGTGCCTTGTCTGCACCCAGGATCTGAACCAGCGAACCCTGGGCCGCCGAGAAGCGGAACGTGTGCACTTAACTGCTGTGCGACTGGGCCGGCCCCGCCAATCTTTTAAAAACAACATAAAATAAAACTCTGTGCAAACACCCATAAAACTACTTCCTTTTAGGTTGACTGACAGACAGTACTGCCACCTGTTTCCAATGTTTTCAGATCCAGCATGCATCGCTGCTCTGATTAGAAACACCACCAATAAAGATACTGAAACAAAAATGAAGAAAAAAAGTAGGGGGAGTTTTTACAGTCTTGATCATCCCCGTATTGAATGGCTGCGAAATGTTCCTCTCGTGGTTAAACCATGATTGCTCACTCACTGCTGGGCGTCAGGATGTCCCAAAGGTTTTATGAGTATAAATGAGGCCGTGATGGACAGACAGCCTTCTGCACAGACCTGTGTCCACATCTGCTGGTTTTACTCTCATTCTCTTGTGGGGGAGGGGAAGTGGGGGACAAGGAGGGAAGGCCACCAGCACCGCCCGGGCCACACTGACCAACCCAGAGTGTCCCAGGCTACCTGCCTCCCCCGGCGTGGTCCAGCACTGGCTTCCTTCCCACGGGGCCTTGGCCCTGGCCTTCCCCAGAGGATGGGGGTCCTGGCCCAGCTTGGACGTGGGGCTGCCCTTGTTTCTGCTGCCAAGTCAGGTTTCTCCACTGGGTCAAGAGAGAAGGGGAAGAGGGACGTTGGCTGCAGCTTCGACTGGGCCCCGGAGATGGGGCACCAGGAAGGGCTAGAGACAGGAGTCAAAACATCTCTGTCAGGCTCCAAAGCCTTAACCATTAGACTACCCTGCCTCTTTGGGAATGAATTCACGGATGGAGAGATGGAGCCCAAGAGACAGGGCTTTCCTTCAAGACAAATTTGGAGCTGGGCCCTCCCACAGCACCCCTTTCCCAAGGAGAAAAGGACCCAGAAGTGCCCTTCCAGGGCTGTCTGACAAACCACTAGTGCAAATTAGCAGTCACTTATACAATAGAGGGCTTGCTATGTGCTAGGCAGGGTTCTGAGGCCCTTATATTTATTAATTTAACCTCACAATTTATCTCATTTTAGAGCTGAAGCGACTAAGGCACAGAGAGGTTAAGTAACTTGCCCAAGGTCACACAGCAGAAAAAATGTGGAAAAAAAGAGAGTAGCAGAGACAGGATCTAAACTCAAGCAGAGCCGGTTCAGGTGTCTGGGCTGACAACCACCCCCTCCACTGCCAGTCACCCAGGAGGTACAACCCAGGCCCCAGTAGAGCCTCCTCCCCAGACACAGTAGTGTTTCATCACCTCCCCATGGCCCAACCTGGAGGCCCCTGACCTTTCGGAAGCTCCGGGCCAGCAGGGCCTGCGTGTGTCGCCCCCACGCCACCTCCAGCTGGGCCTCCCGGAGCCATAGTGCCCACCGCAGCGCCCGTAGGCCCCTGCGCAACAGCTGCCGGCGGCCCAGCGCCAGCGCCGCCACCACTGCCCGCCGCGTCTGCACCACGTGCTGCCAGGCTCGGAAACACCTGGACAGCAGCCGCCAGCTGGGGACAGATAAGGGTTGCTCAGGGGGTGGACCCAGCCCCTGAGCCCCAGGGAGCAGCTGGGGGTGGGGTCCACCCACGTCGCCTTCCAGCGATGATGAGAGTGATGCTCGGGGCTGCAGCACAAGGACTAGCTGCAGACTTTGCAAGAGCACCCCGCACAAGAGAGCCTCTGAGGCAGGGCAGCCTTATGAGTTTAAGATTCCCAGCAGCCGCCGCCCCCACTCCTGTCCTGGGGCAGCCTGGGAGGCCCCTCATTCTGCAGCAGGGACAGCGTGAAGATGTTCCCTCCCCCTGACATCCTCCGGGGATCTGCCATCAGGGCCTCGTCTCTCTCAGGCCCTGGTCTCGGCTCCCCCTTGCAAATGGGCCCCCACGCCACAGCCCCTGGCCTCACCGAGCTGTCTCAGACGCCAGGCTCACAGTGCTTCTGGCTTTGTTCTTGGAAATCAAAGGACATGACACAGCTCTCAGGCCAAGAAGCAAGAGGACAGGACACCCTCTGCGGAGCCTGCCTGCCAAGGCCGCCCTTTCCGGGGAGGGGGGTGTGACAGGGTAGTGACAACCAGCTTGGAGTGAGAATTCCTGGGAGGAGGCAGCGGGCCTCCCGGAGCCCCCCAACTCCCACTCCCAGACTCCTCCGGCCTCTACCTGCAGGCCGCTCCTCGCCGGGGCCGCGCCTGGTGGACAGGGAGCCATCCTCTCCTCCTTCCTGCTGACCTGCTCCTGCGGGGCCCCCTCCCCTCCTTCCCACCCAGGAAGGACGCCCCGGGCTGCATGGGAGAAGGCTGAAGAGCAGAGTCCGGGCTCTCTGCTGCCAGCCCCTCGAGGGAGCAGAGGGTCCCCCCTCTGCCCGCTGCCGAACACAGTCCCTGGGGAGCAGTTTCCGCCTCGTCTCAGGGGATGGGCAGGAAGGACGCCCTGCTCGGGATCAAGGACATCCCCAGTCAGCATCCCCACTGTGGTCTCCGGTGATGCAGGCTTACTGCCTGCCTGAGAGTCTGAGAGGCCAGCCCGGACCCCTGGGGTCTCTGGGGAATCCTCGGTTTCCCTGAGACCTGGAGGGAATTTCCTCCTCTTATCCCAGGAAGCAGGAACAGCTTGGCTGGGCTGGAGGCAAGCGGGGAGCGCCTGGCCATCACTGGTCCAGGGTTCCTGCCACACAGGGCCCAGGGGTTCCCGGGATGCCCGGCACCTGAGACCGGCTGCCTTGTGCTCCAGGTGTTGCACGGAGGCCAGCAGCTGGTGGACAGCAGCTTTGGGTGGGGCCCAAGGCTGGCTCTGGGTAGGGACAGCTAGGTCCTCCAGGGTGAGGGGTTCCCCCATGAGCCTGGAGGTCCAGCTCCCCAGGCCACACCAGGACCTGGGGCCTGGCCGTGTATGCCCACCAAGAGGGGCATAGTCAGCAGCGGGCCTGAAGTCTGGGCAGCGGGTGTCTGTGGCCAGCGGCTGGGATGGCCTCAGGCTGGAGGATGGGGGAGCCAAGGGCCCTCGGGGTAGGGAGCCTGCCTGGGGCATCATGTGGGGCCAGACGCTTTCCTGAGGCTCCGACTGGGGGCTGGTGTGACTTCCACACTCGGCCAAGGTGGCTTCCTTCATGCTCAGGTTACTCTGCTGGACGGCAAACCTGGGGGCTCTCCTTTGGGGCCTCCTGGCCAGGCGCTGCAGGTTGCTCTGCTGCCAGAAGCCTGAGTTGATGAGCTGGCCAGTCGTGTCCTTCAGGGCAAGGCCCAGGCCGGGGCTGGGGCTGGCCAGGTTGGTCTGGACTCGGCAGGGCTCCTGGCAAAGCACTGCCCCTGGGGAGGGTGTGGCGGCAGGCCCTCCCCTCTTGGCCTGGCACATGGGCACCCACCGGCCATGTCCACTGCCCAGGCCGACACCCAGGCTCTTCCGGAGCCTCCGTTGCTCTAAGGAGAGGAGAGACAGTCATGCCCTGGGGGGGACTCCATGGTCAGTGCTCAGGTGGGAGAAGAGGGGTCAGCCAGGCCTCAGAACAGGGGAGGGACAGGGCCCCAGGTGGGAGGGAGCCTGGACCTCAGGGGTCTGTGTCAGCTCTGTCTTCCCGGGTGGACTGGTGGGCAGCGCCTGGGGGTCTTCAGCAAGAGCGGGGACGTGGTCTGACTGGGTGCCTGGCTGCATGGAGCAGGGCCGGGCAGGGCCGGGAGGAGGGCAGAGGGAAGCGGGGAGACAGGAGGCTGGTGGGGGGTCCCAGGCGAGAGAGGACAGGGCTGGGATGGGGGATGGCGGGGTAGGTGGAGAGAAGGAGACGGATTCAGACCCGCTGTGGAGGTGGAGGCTGAGGAAAGAGGAGCCAAGGACGACTGCCTGGTTCCCCGCTTGAACGAAGAGGTGATGGGGGCAGCAATTAGGGCTGAAAGCAAGATCCAGCACATGAAGCAGTTAAAAGTGAGCAGCTCTAGGGACGCGGTGGGGCTTAGGCCCCTCCCTCTCTGCCCTGTCTTCCTGGCCGCCCAGGCCATCCCACAGCTCAGGAGACAAGGCCTCCTGGGGGTTGGTGAGGTCCTGGCAGGTAGAGTGGGCCATAAAAGTTTGTAGATACGAACTAAAGCTCAGAGAGGTTAAGCAACTTGCCCCACAGTCACACAGCTAGAACACAGACAAACTGGCATGTGAATTGGAATCTGAATTTGTTCTTGGGCTGCTCCTGCTCTCGGCTGCATCAACTCTGGGGCCTCCTCGAAGCCCCAGGCACCTGAGCAGGGGGCCCACCACCCCTGGCACAGACAGGGCCCCCCGCCGGGCCCACTCCCGCCCTCCTCTTCCCGACCTCACCTCCTCACTTCCTGACCCTCCCTCAGGCCCCAGGCTGGGAAGACTTTGTCCTGGCCCAGCTGGTCCTGTACAGCTAATCTCTGGAATTATCGAGGCCCTGGACTGGCCTGAGGGGAAAGTGGCTCTGGGTCGCTACCTGGAGGGGCCTGTGGTCCTGCCACCTCCGACCTGGACCCGCTGAGCCTCTTGCCTGGCCTCGTGGGCGTCGCAGGCCTGGGGGCCACATTCTCCTTGTGGCTGGTGTCAGGTCTCAGCTCCATGGTGTCCAGGGCAGAGCCGGGGCGGCAGTGTCCTTGGTCTACACCACAGCCAGCGGCCCGGCCTGTTTGACGGGATGGGCTCTGAGGGGCCAGGACAGGCCCCACGCCACCCCTCACCAGCACCCCTGGTTGCCCTGAGGCCCAGCTCCAGCTGTCCTGGTCAGGCCCCTGGGGTCTCCTCTGCCCGCCCCTACACCACCTCTCTCCCTTATAATTTTCTCGTGTCTTCCAGCACCTGCTTCTTCTAACGGGGACCACGGATTCCGGCCATGCCCTGTGGACCCTGCTTCTCCAGTAGCCCTCTCCGGTGGGGGCTGTTTCTCTCAGACCACTGGGCCCGGAGGTGGGTGGGGCCCTCTGCCTCCTGTCGCCACTTCCGACCATTCTGCCTCTCTCCTCTCTAAGACACTCCTGTTCTAAGCTCCAGGAAGTTCATTCCTCAAAGATTTCAGCTGCTGGCTCACTGTCACTTTCTCCATCACATACCTGTCTAAGTTCTTGGTGATTTCACCATCCACACAGGCGGTCCCTCCAGCTCCTGGCCTGCGGGCTCCCTGACCTCCTCCCCTCCCACCATCTTGCCTTCACCAACCTCAGCCACCGGCTCCCACGGTCCCCCAGGCTTTGTCATCCTCCATAAGCGCCCCCCCCCCCCCCCCCCCCGCCCAGGACATCAGCTGCAGAGCCCACACCCATGTTTCCAGCTCACTCCCTTTAGTGTCCCTCTACGGTCTCCCTTTGAGACCCTCACCCTCTGACCCCACCACCTTTGACCGTCCCTCGCCCCTTGACGGCTCTCTCTAACCCCCCCGGCATTATAATCACCCCCTTTGCACACCCTCGGCTCCCCCTCTTTGCTGCGCTCGCTTGGCAAAACCACAGCATTGGTCAAAGAAAACCCTCCAGCTGCACTGATGGCCTCGCTCCCAAATCATGACGCCAATCTCAAGTGGCCCAAAGGCTGCTGGAGAATCAGGTGCCAGTCCCCGAGCCGAGCCGCCTCGACACTGTCCACGAAGTCCCCTCCGCCATTGCCAACACTTCCCCCTTCCTTACTGAATCATTCCCAGCAGCACTTTAACAGCTGGTTATTTTGTCCATCTTTACAAACAAAAAGCAAAAGCATTAAAGAAAAAGATCCCTCTCCTCTTGAGCCTCAGGCCCCAGGCCGTTTGTCCCCTTCTCACCACACCCAGATCCCACTTCCTCCCCCACCTCCACCTCTGCTGACCTCACGCAATTGGCACCCCCACCCCACCCCAGAGCTGCTTTGCTCCAGGTGACCTCCCAGATGCCACCCCAGCCAGTTCTCAGCCTGGGTTTTCGTGAGGCAGCGGCATGAGCTGCAGGACGGTGGCCTCTCGCACTCCTTGGGGCCCTTGCTTCCCCGACTCCAGGATGCCCGCCTCGGTTTCCCTCCCCACTGCCTGCTGCTCTTTCCCAGACTCCTCTGCTGGTTCGCCCCGGGCCTCAGCCCTCCCTTCCCTGCGCGGACCCCCGCAAGCTCAGCTGCAGACAGTCTAATGCAGGCTCCTGTCCCCCTCCTCCGAGGACGGCATCTCCAGCCTTCCTGTGTCTCAGACGAAAATCCCGGAGCCGCCCTAATGCCTCTCCTCACACGGTGTGCAAGCCATCAGCTCCACCTGCCAAAGACGTCTAGAGCCTGCCCCGCTCACCACCTCGTCCCCACCTCCCCAGGTCAAGCGACCATCACCTCCGGCCTCCTAACTGGGGTCCGCGCTTCTGCCCTACTGCCACACCAATGTCTGCTCCCCAGCAGCCAGAGTGGTCCTGCGAACCCTGAAATCAGATCATGTCCTGACTCAACTCAAATGCCCCCAAAGGCTCCCCAGTCCACTCAGTCCTCAACAAAGGCTGCAAAGCCCCACCTCGGGGCCCCTGTTTATGATGCACATACAGTTACATTGGAACCATGGCTATCCGCTTATGCTGGTCTATGGCTGCTCTCTCGCTACAGTGGCAGAGCCATTATGGCCCACAAAGCCTGGCCTTTAAGAAAGCTTGCTGACCCCTGCCCTATGTTACCGACCTCACCCCTACTCCTCTGCCCCTGCTCTCCCTGCTCCAAACACATGGGCCTCCTCCCTGTTCTTCCAAAATGCTGTGTGTGTCCCCACCTCAGGGCCTTTGCACTTACTGTTCCCTCTGCCGGGCACTCTTCCCCTCTCCCCCTCACTCCTTCAAGTCCTGCCTCAAACATCACAGGGAGCCCTTCCCTGCACGCTCCCCGACACAGCACTCTCCCCACTCCCTCCTCTCTTTACCCTGCGTGACTTTTCCCCGTGACTTCCCACCATCTAACAGAAGAACGAGTGTTCGCCTTTCTCCCTCCAGTGGACTGACAGCCATTGCCTCTTTTCCCTGCTGTGTTCACAGCGCAAGGAATAGTACGTGGCACATAACGGGCTTATTCACCGGGTAAAATGAACCACTGAACCCTGCCAAGCACCATGGAGTACCGCAGCCCTAAAAACGAGGCCCCCTTGTTTTAGAGATGGGGAAACTGCCGCTTCAAGGGCTCACCTGCCCAGGCCACGGTCCTACAGCTGCTCAGCAGCTGTAGAGGGACCACCCCGGGGCCTGACTCCACAGCGCATGCTCCTAACCAGGGCCACCCCGCCCCCACCTCTTTCCAAAGGAGGCTGGAGACGGCTCAACCCGCAGCATCCTTTCCTACCCCCAACTCCCCACCCAGTGCCTGGGCACATCGGCCCCTCTGTCTGCTCCTCGCCCCCCACCCCTGTCCGCCCCTTCACCACTCCACCCTCATCCGTCCAGCTAAGACGGCAGAGCCCCCTCCGACTCCCGCGGAGGGAACTTGCGGTCGGTTTTGCTGCCCCCCTGGACCTGTCCTCCGGTGCGTCTGTCTTCCTCGGGACCTCCGTCACTCAGTCCAATCTGAACCTGGAGGGCGTCTCGGCGGGACGGCTAACGACCCTGGCGTGGGCGGGGACGTCAGAGAGCGTGCCGCCCAGGGTCCGGCGCTGCCTCGAGGCGCACGGGGCGCCCCCACGGCCCGAGTCGTGAGAGTGGCCGCGGGTGTCCGTGCGCGGGGGCCCGGGGTGGGCGGAGGGGGGCCATCCGCGGGGGTGCGCGGTGCTCCGCGAGGGCTCTGCCCAGCACCGGGCATTGGTGGCGAGGCACGTGGTCCTGGGCAAACTTCTTGCGGGCAAGACAGGCAAAACCCTGCCGGCCTTCGGGGCCCTCCGGAACGGGCTGGAATCCACCCTACTCACCCTCCCTGCTGTGTGCTTGGCCCAGCCACGCTTCCCTCTAGGCATTTTCCACCTGCCAAGCCTTTGCTCATGCTGTTCCTCGCTGAGCCCTGCCCTCCGTGCCCTTTTCTTCCTCTGTCCAGTGAGTATGCTTTCTCCTTTCTAAACACCTGCCGGGAGAGCAAAGAGCACTGGGTGGCGAGACAGAAGACCCGTGATCAAGATGGATTCTACTGCTGTGTGACCTTAGGCAAGTCCCTAACTTCTCTGAACCTCACGCTTCTCATCTGTAACAGGGAGGTGGTAACACCTCTGTTGTTGCACCGGTTTGATGTGAGAATCAGATGTTTCACAAATAAATGCCAAAGAGCCGTTTAAACTCTAAAGCAATTCTTGAAGAAGGGGCTGATTCCTTCCGAAGTGTATGCATTGGCTATCTGCTCCCAAACCGGGTGGACTGACCCTCTGTGCTTTCTGTCTTGGTTCCCTTACCTCTAGTAAGACTTTTGCCTTCAAGTCAAGTTGGTCTGATGTTAGCTTAGCCACCCCAGCTCTGTTCCTTATTTGCCTGGTTTAACTTTTCCGTCCTTTTACTTTCAGTCTCCTTGTCTCCATATAGTTTAGGTGCATCTCTTATAAACACAGTATGGCTGGAATTGTCTTTAAAAATCAGTTACAAATGTATGATTATGACATTTATATAAACCATCTTATTTTTGCGCTTGCTAATGGTCAAATTTCATGCTTCTCTTTTCTCCTTTCTTGCCTTTTTCAGAATTGATCAAGGTTTCCTCTTTCATTCTTTTTTTCCACCACCACTGGCTTGGAAATTACTCACTTCATTTCTAGTCTTTCAGTGGTTATCCAAGACACGTTAATATGTACCTTTAATTTGATAAAGTCTGAAGGTTAATGCAGTATTTACCCTCCTTCCAGACAAAAAGGGGCTTCTGTGTCCGCTCAGCTCCTCCTGATGTACGTTGTTATCGTCTCAATCACTAAACCACTTGTTTACTGTTTCCTTCCTGCGTGTCAGATCTTCCTTACGGAAAAACTTCCCTCTTCCACAAAAAGATTCTTTCGACGTGTCTGTATTGAAGGTCTGTTGGTGACCTCTGCTGTTCCTTCCCTGAGTATGTCTTCGTTTCACCCTCACTCCTGAAAGGTGCTCTTCAGTGCACAGTTTGGGGGTGACCTCTGTTTTTCTCACCATCTGAAGTTATCATTCCTCTGTCTTCTGACTCCTACTGTTGCCGTTGAGACATCAGCAATAATTGGTGTAATTGTCGTTCCTTTCAGGACAATATCTTTTCTCCCAGGCTGCTTTGGGATCTTAATGTTCGTCTTTGGGGTTCTGCAGTTTTCATCCGTTCATTCCGTGCCTTTCGTGAGCACGTCCTGGGTGCCGGCGCTGTTCCAGGTGCTGAAGATACAGCAGGTGTGGACCAAGTGCCATTGAGATGATTGTAAATGTGGGTTTCTTCTTAGTTATTCTGCTTGGGGGTTGTTTGGCTTCCTAATCTGAGGCTTGGTGTCTTTCCATTTTGGAAAGTTCCCTGCCTTTCTCTCTTTGAATGTTGCCTCTCTCCCACTGCCTCCTCAGGAACTCCGACTGTGTGTGTCTGACCTCTCTATCCTTCGTTTCTAACCTCTCAGATTTTCTGTCTCTTTTTTCCTGTGTACTAAGTAATTCCTTCAACTCTATCTTCAAGGCTTCCGATTTTCTCTTCTGGTGTCCCTATTCCGTGAATCAACCCATCCACTGAGTTTCTAATTACACCCACTGTGCTTTTCATCTGTAGACGTTCTGATTGATTATTTCCTTTAAACTCCACCTGGCATCTCAGTCTGCCTCCAGGTTGTCACCTTCAGGCTCTTAAGTCAAGTCGTCCCCATGTGCCCTTGTCCAAGTCAAGTCTCCTCTTCCTGGGCCTGGTCCCCAGCTGTGACAGAAAGAGGACCTAGGAAATCGGTTTTCCTACTGTGCTCCGGGGCCCCTTCCTGAGAGTGGCCATGGCTGGGGGGGTGGGGAGGGAAGGGGGGTTGGGGAGCGTTCTCTCTCGGACTAGCTCTGTCTTATATACTGGGGAAGAGTTTTTTTGAACAAAGAGGTTGAAACAAAACAGCCTTTTCAAACCACTGGGCTAGGCGAGCTCGAAGCTCCCTTTGAGTTCAGATCTGTGATTCTGAGTTTAGGCCTCTGATATGACCACGTTTTATTACAACTCGTTGACCCTGTTGATAGCATCTGGACTGACAGGTGTGCACCCAGGCCCCCCACCACCTGGAGACCTGGACCCTCAGAGTTCTGCTGTTGCCGGGAGGAAAACCTCTGTCTTACTTCCTGAAATTTTTTTCAATCTTTTGAACACTTGTAGAAAGCACTCAATAAGTGTTTAGAGAAATAATAAGTGAACAGATGAATGGATGGTCAGACTGGTGATGGAAGGCAGGACGTGCTGCCCCAAAATGTGGCGCCTTGGCTTGCTGAGTGTCTTACACTGAAGGAGTCTGGGAAAACGGCAGAAGCCGGAAGGTCACCCTGACCTCCATCACACCCCCCCTTCTCCCCGAAACAGGTCATAAATCTCTCATGTGAAAGGTCCCCTGCCTCTGCCAGGTGGAAAGAAGACATTCTTATGACCAGAGGTGGGGAATCTATGGCTGAGAAATCTGTATGAACAAACCTTGTTGGACTCCCCCTCGTCTTCCTAGTTCCTTCTTCCCACTTACCACCCCAAGCCCAAACCCCTTTGTCCCGTCAATTCTTCACACATTTGTTGTTTCTCTAAAAGGCATAAAAGCTTCCTGCTCTGGTCACTTCTTCAGGTCTTCATTCTCTTGTGAAGGCTCCGACGTACATGTAAAAATTCAATAAAATGTGTAAGCTTTTCTCCTGTTAACCTTAGTCAGTTTAATTTTCAGACCCTAAGAGGGTTGAGGAGATATTTTCCTCCCCTGCACTGCTCCCCCTCCCTCCCTCTGAATAATTCACACGGCAGCACAGGCAAGGAGATCTAATATTCACTAAACACTACGTCACACATTTTCAGACTCCACTAATCCCTGAGCCAGGCACCATTATTGTCCCCATTTGTCAGATGAGGAAACCGAGTGCAGTGGGGGTGAGATGTCCAGCCTCTCACACAGCCGGCCACAGGGTGTGGCTGGACTTAAACCACGGCCCCCCTGGCTCTGGAGCTGGTTTGGAGGGAGGCTGTGAGTTGGAATTTCCAGGCCTGTTTTGGGGGCTCTCGTCCAGTTTTGACGAACAGGAGAAGACAGGAACCTCCTCTGGGGCAATTTCTCTGGCTTTTTCACCTGGAGGGCTCAGCTTCATGAAAACAAAAACACACAAGATTTTCAAACTAGATGAGCGACTTGAGCTCTCACCAGCAGGGGACCAGAGGCAAGAGAAATTGGCTTCCTGTGGTTGACAGTTTCTAGAAGCTCAGGTGCCAGAGACTAAAACAGACTATTTCCAATTCCCTACAGCAACCGGTCCTTTTAAAAGAACACAGTGGTGAGAAAGTCTGGTTGGAAGCCCCATGGCCTCCAGTGTGGCCCGTCTGAGACTGAGCTCCTGGCCTTGCCCAGGACCTGGCCTTCCTGCTGTGCCCCCTCCTGGCTAGGAGCAGCTCCGACCTCCAGCTGCTCAGTCCCAAAACCTTGCAATCCCAGACTCTTCTGTTTCTCCTACATCCAGTCCATGAGCGAATCTTGCCGCTCTGCCTTCAAAATGCATCCAGGAGCTTCCCCACTGTGACAGGCAGTCCCCTGCGTGCCGTCTTCCCACCCCACTTGGCTGCATAACAGTGGGCCTTGGGCCGGAACACTTCCTTACCAAGAGACCAAGAGCCCCCTGGTCTGTGCCAAGCCCGTCCCCTTGGGTGGGAACCTCTCTCCCTGCTTCAGGGCCCAGGTTTGCTCTTTTTTTCTGCTTAAGCACGTGTATCACACGGCATGTGGCCAACCCCACTGCTGTCTCTGTCCTTCTCGGGAGGGGACAGTGTCCTTGCACTGTGGCATGAGGGGGGGAGAGTAAATAAATTTGCCGTTAGCTGCCAGAGGAGACCCGCTGGCCACGGGGATGGACGCCCACTACTGAAGCTGTGGGCGGAAGTGTCTGGACTCCTGTCCTGGGATTGATAACTGGTGCGTGGCGTTCCGCTTGACATGACCACTGGTCACCAGGCCTGGCTCCACCTCCCCGTCCAAGCCACCAACATTGTCCTTCTGGTGTCCTTTTGAAATGTAAGCCAGGCCATGTCGAACTCAGCCCAAAGCCCCCATCTCCCTCAGTAAAAGCTGAAGTCCTCAAAATGACCTGTGACCCTGCGCCATCTGGGCCCTGCTGCCTTCCCGACCTCGTCCCATCGCCCCCCCCCCCCCCCCGGCCTTGGCTCCAGCCACCCCGACCTCCTGATCTTGCCCCCAAACAGGCCGGGCAGGCACGTGCCCCCTCAAGCCTTCCAATGAGCTGTTCCCCTTATGCAAGATGGAATCTTCTGGGTACTAGGGGCTTTTTTTCCACTCTGGCATCCCCAGCATCTAGAACACCGCTCACTTCCTCTAGGCTCTCGAGTGCTTGTTGAATGAATGTTAGCAGCTCTCCCTCACGAGACCTGCCATGTGGGTGTGGGAAGGGGCGGCCACACAGGTGGTCCTCACTGATTCTATGCGCCTCTGCGGGCCCTCTCCTTGCAGGATGGTGCTCGGGCTCCTGGCGCCACTTTG